CAATAAAAAATAAAGCATTTATTTCAATTTTAAAAGTGTACAAACGTTCCGAGCAACTTCCTGGAAGTGCCCATATTCACTAAATAAAGATTTTTCTCTCCTTGAAAATACCAAGAATCCAGGGCTGCCGTCAACCAATCTGCAACCCTGCAATGATTACAGCTAATCAAGTTGGCTTTTGCAAGTTGTCATGGCATTCGAAGGCACTTGGAAAATATTCCCATTAACGATGGACGAGAAAACGAATTACAGGCTGAGCAAAACCGACTTCTATATCCGTTCTGATCTGGAGTTCGTGGACAGTCTGCTTAAGGACTTTCGATTGGAGGCACTGGTTTACAGTGAGTTGAAAGCTGGAGGTAAAGGCAAATATTTTGTGAGTGATTTGCTTCAGATTTATTCAGGGGCAAGCTGGTGGAGAACCTTTCCAGCGAGAGTGTCGAGGATCTGGAGAAGACGCATTTAGAGCGGATCGACGAGATGAGGAGGAGGCCCCGCCAGCAGGCGCTGATGATCCTGGTTCCCTTGCTCCCTGGCTCCCAGCCAGAAGTCTGAGCCGGGGATTACTGCTGCTTACCTTGCGGTATGAAGGAGAGGGGCACTGAACAGTGCCTTCCAATCCGGCGGCACCTGCAGCTGCCGTTCGGGGTCTTCACAAGTTCAGCTTCAGATCGATGTCAACTATGGCATTTTCGCCTCGTATCCCTAACGCTTTTCGTTTCGTAGCTCGTCCAGAGACTCTACCACCCGAGCGGTGAGGGCCCCAATCCCTCGACCCAACCTTAAACCCCAGGGTTAAATTCTTAAACTCGTGGGACTGCCTGATGAAGACCTTCGATTATAGGTTATAGGTTATATCTTATTGTCAAAGGTCTTCCCCTGGCAGCTCCAGGAGTCAATGAATTCACTCCTAAATGTTTAACGGTGGGTCGAGGGATTGATTCCCTCAGCGCTCGGATGGTCTTGAGTCTCCGGATGAGCAACGAAACGGGAAGCGTTAGAGATATGAGGCAAAGATGCCATTGTTTGCATCGTTCTGAAGCTGAACTTGTGAAGACTCGGAACGACAGCAGCAGGTGCCGCCGGATTGGAAGGCACTCCAATCCTCGGCTTTGGTTGAGCCTGTTCAGTGCCCGTCTCCTTCACATCGGCCATCATGCACCCATCAAGATCCCATGGGTGACATCGAACTGGAGCTGGAGTTGTTAGGACCCGGAACGGCGGCGACTTTGTCAGCGGTCAGTTGAAGTAGAGCGTTGTAATGTTGGACACGATGCGGGATGTGATTGCGCAGGCGGAGTGTCAGCCCGAACGGTGATTCCCCGCCGACGCCCACAAGCGCATGCGCACCTCTTTAGACCTGGAAATGGAACACTGATACCTATACATCGTATCACACATCGAATATACATATACCGGAGTCCCGGAGAGTACGAAGACGGATCCCTTACCAGTCCGGCATCAGCCACAATACGGGTTTTCTCGTTGACTATATCTAGTATTACTCCAAAGCGAATTATTTATAAATAAAATTAAGAAATATTACTTTTCATTTGCGTCAATCTGTTGAGTTCCTAATGCGTTCGGAGATATATAATGTCTTTTAGGGAATGGGGATCGTTGGCATGTGTAGCAAGTTGGTCAAAACAGTCGGTAATCGATATACTCTACGAGTAACGGGTATACTAGATTCGTCGGAAAGTATGTAACAGGTAATGTCTCGTTATACTCTACGTGTAACGGGTATACTAGATTCGTCGGAAAGTATGTAACAGTAGAAGGAAACGTTTCCGACCCAATAAATCTGTTGGAACTTAACATGCTGATTCTTGGTCTTCCTCCGCAGCGCAAGTTTGTTTCAGCAGGGTGCCACGATCACTCTAACGCCCACAATCGACTATAACACTAAATCCGTCTAGTTCCAACATTGTTTAATATTTAAAAATTTAAATGACATATTTTCTTAATTAAATACTCATCTACATGCCTAAAATTATTAAAGTAGGACAAGTCATTAAAAAGTTATAACCAGATAATAATAAAAATTTTGAAATTAAATTAAAATTGCACTCCATATGCAAATCAGCTGTTTCACTAACACCAAGCCGCAAGGGGCGCTATAGACTAGGTGGCGCTAGATGTCGCTATAGGCTAGGGGTTTTAGTGAAAAAAACAGAGTTGCTGTAAGCAAATCTTTATCCCTCTCGCACTCCCTTAAGCTGAGTAACGGGTATCTAATAGTCGAGGCCATCGACTGTAGGATTTTCTCTTGTTTGTGCTTGAAATCCAGTTGAAATTTTCAATCAGACAGTCAAAACTCTCAAAGAAAACAAATTTTTAAGAAATATGTCCCCGTATCCTGGTTCCTGTGGTTCTTTGTTTCCGTTTTATTTTACACCTGTTCTTTTTAACGGCATCACTGCAATGGAATGGAGACTTGTGAAAGTTTTATCCTGATAGCTAGAAAACTAAGACTAGTTTGAATAAAAACGGACAGATGGACTCATCTGGTGATGCTGATCAAGAATATATTTACTAAATAGGATCGGAAACGCTTCCTTCTACCTGTTACATACTTTCCGACGAATCTTTTACTCTACGACAAACGGGTATAACAATTAGCTAATTCAATAAAAATTGCACACCACATGAAGCAAATCGGCTGTTTTCACTATCACGCCACCAAGCCTATAGACGCTAGGGGGCGCTATGGGCTAGATGGTATGATAGTGAAAACACCCGTTTTGCTGCAAGCTGAATAAAGGGTATCTAATAGTCGAAGCCATTAACTACAGCGGTTTCTCTTATTGGTACCAAGACCTTTAATATGTCGATTGGTTCAGGAGAAATTACAATCTCGCTTTGATGCTTGTATATCTCCATCTCCCTTCTGCTACAGATTAGATTAGATTTTTAGCCCAAGCTGAATATAAAATACGTTTCCGTCAGGATAGCAAAGAAATAGTTCGAATCTACAGATGAGTATACTAATAAATCAATGTAAAATTACTTGTGTACTCGCTTGTTCATATCCTGACTTGTTTATTTCATTTTTTTAAATTATTTTTGGTTTTTGTACATTTTTTTAAATTGCTTGAAGCCCGTAAGGAAATTAAAATTGTGTTTTATTTTCTTCTTTAAGTTTTGTATGGCAATCTAATAAATAAATTGATCCAAAAAAATAAGTTGACAAACAATTTTAAAATATAAGTAGGGTGACTATTAAAAACCTTTTTTGTCTTATTTGCTAATATTTTTTACGCAACTGTATGTGATTTTTCATCGATTTTATTAGTTTAAATGTAGATAGATTAACAACTTAGCAACGCAATTTGTGTATAATTTTATTAATTGTAATATCGAAGCCTACCAATATACCCAAAGAGTAGTTTTTGGTATTTTTTAGGTATTTCTTATACCTCTGTTCTGTTGTTATTTTATAAATAGTAACGTTAATATGTGACAAATGGTTGTGCTCAATGCCACATTTACATGTTAAGCTGTTAAATTAGAAAAAAAAATGTCTGGTGCGACATGTCCCGACCGAAAAAGGTTAAAACCAAATTAAAAAGAACTGTAGGCAATTTCAGAGTCAATCCAAATCTATTTCGCAGTGACAATATCAGAGAACATTCTAAAAAACATCGCATTAAAATATTTCATCAGAATTCGCTGAAATCAAGGGTTGAATGAACTTCCGCATAAGTGTTGCGGCAAAACCCCCTTCTATTTTTCTCCCGAACGAAAACGACAGTATTTTCAATATATCTTTAAAATTTTAAATGCGACAAAATTAAGACTAATACACAATATACAGCGTGGGAACAATAAAAAATAAAGCATTTATTTCAATTTTAAAAGTGTACAAACGTTCCGAGCAACTTCCTGGAAGTGCCCATATTCACTAAATAAAGATTTTTCTCTCCTTGAAAATACCAAGAATCCAGGGCTGCCGTCAACCAATCTGCAACCCTGCAATGATTACAGCTAATCAAGTTGGCTTTTGCAAGTTGTCATGGCATTCGAAGGCACTTGGAAAATATTCCCATTAACGATGGACGAGAAAACGAATTACAGGCTGAGCAAAACCGACTTCTATATCCGTTCTGATCTGGAGTTCGTGGACAGTCTGCTTAAGGACTTTCGATTGGAGGCACTGGTTTACAGTGAGTTGAAAGCTGGAGGTAAAGGCAAATATTTTGTGAGTGATTTGCTTCAGATTTATTCAGGGGCAAGCTGGTGGAGAACCTTTCCAGCGAGAGTGTCGAGGATCTGGAGAAGACGCATTTAGAGCGGATCGACGAGATGAGGAGGAGGCCCCGCCAGCAGGCGCTGATGATCCTGGTTCCCTTGCTCCCTGGCTCCCAGCCAGAAGTCTGAGCCGGGGATTACTGCTGCTTACCTTGCGGTATGAAGGAGAGGGGCACTGAACAGTGCCTTCCAATCCGGCGGCACCTGCAGCTGCCGTTCGGGGTCTTCACAAGTTCAGCTTCAGATCGATGTCAACTATGGCATTTTCGCCTCGTATCCCTAACGCTTTTCGTTTCGTAGCTCGTCCAGAGACTCTACCACCCGAGCGGTGAGGGCCCCAATCCCTCGACCCAACCTTAAACCCCAGGGTTAAATTCTTAAACTCGTGGGACTGCCTGATGAAGACCTTCGATTATAGGTTATAGGTTATATCTTATTGTCAAAGGTCTTCCCCTGGCAGCTCCAGGAGTCAATGAATTCACTCCTAAATGTTTAACGGTGGGTCGAGGGATTGATTCCCTCAGCGCTCGGATGGTCTTGAGTCTCGGGATGAGCAACGAAACGGGAAGCGTTAGAGATATGAGGCAAAGATGCCATTGTTTGCATCGTTCTGAAGCTGAACTTGTGAAGACTCGGAACGACAGCAGCAGGTGCCGCCGGATTGGAAGGCACTCCAATCCTCGGCTTTGGTTGAGCCTGTTCAGTGCCCTTCTCCTTCACATCGGCCATGATGCACCCATCAAGATCCCATGGGTGACATCGAACTGGAGCTGGAACGGCGGCGACTTTGTCAGCGGTCAGTTGAAGTAGAGCGTTGTAATGTTGGACACGATGCGGGATGTGATTGCGCAGGCGGAGTGTCAGCCCGAACGGTGATTCCCCGCCGACGCCCACAAGCGCATGCGCACCTCTTTAGACCTGGAAACGGAACACTGATACCTATACATCGTATCACACATCGAATATACATATACCGGAGTCCCGGAGAGTACGAAGACGGATCCCTTACCAGTCCGGCATCAGCCACAATACGGGTTTTCTCGTTGACTATATCTAGTATTACTCCAAAGCGAATTATTTATAAATAAAATTAAGAAATATTACTTTTCATTTGCGTCAATCTGTTGAGTTCCTAATGCGTTCGGAGATATATAATGTCTTTTAGGGAATGGGGATCGTTGGCATGTGTAGCAAGTTGGTCAAAACAGTCGGTAATCGATATACTCTACGAGTAACGGGTATACTAGATTCGTCGGAAAGTATGTAACAGGTAATGTCTCGTTATACTCTACGTGTAACGGGTATACTAGATTCGTCGGAAAGTATGTAACAGTAGAAGGAAACGTTTCCGACCCAATAAATCTCAGAAACTATAAGAGCTAGAATGTTGGAACTTAACATGCTGATTCTTGGTCTTCCTCCGCAGCGCAAGTTTGTTTCAGCAGGGTGCCACGATCACTCTAACGCCCACAAACGACTATAACACTAAAACCGTCTAGTTCCAACATTTTTTAATATTTAACAATTTAAATGACATATTTTCTTAATTAAATACTCATCTACATGCCTAAAATTATTAAAGTAGGACAAGTCATTAAAAAGTTATAACCAGATAATAAATTTTGCAATTAAATTAAAATTGCACTCCATATGCAAATCAGCTGTTTCACTAACACCAAGCCGCAAGGGGCGCTATAGACTAGGTGGCGCTAGATGTCGCTATAGGCTAGGGGTGTTAGTGAAAAAAACAGAGTTGCTGTAAGCAAATCTTTATCCCTCTCGCACTCCCTTAAGCTGAGTAACGGGTCGAGGCCATCGACTGTAGGATTTTCTCTTGTTTGTGCTTGAAATCCAGTTGAAATTTTCAATCAGACAGTCAAAACTCTCAAAGAAAACAAATTTTTAAGAAATATGTCCCCGTATCCTGGTTCCTGTGGTTCTTTGTTTCTGTTTTATTTTACACCTGTTCTTTTTAAGGGCATCACTGCAATGGAATGGAGACTTGTGAAAGTTTTATCCTGATAGCTAGAAAACTAAGACTAGTTTGAATAAAAACGGACAGATGGACTCATCTGGTGATGCTGATCAAGAATATATTTACTAAATAGGATCGGAAACGCTTCCTTCTACCTGTTACATACTTTCCGACGAATCTTTTACTCTACGACAAACGGGTATAACAATTAGCTAATTCAATAAAAATTGCACACCACATGAAGCAAATCGGCTGTTTTCACTATCACGCCACCAAGCCTATAGACGCTAGGGGGCGCTATGGGCTAGATGGTATGATAGTGAAAACACCCGTTTTGCTGCAAGCTGAATAAAGGGTATCTAATAGTCGAAGCCATTAACTACAGCGGTTTCTCTTATTGGTACCAAGACCTTTAATATGTCGATTGGTTCAGGAGAAATTACAATCTCGCTTTGATGCTTGTATATCTCCATCTCCCTTCTGCTACAGATTAGATTAGATTTTTAGCCCAAGCTGAATATAAAATACGTTTCCGTCAGGATAGCAAAGAAATAGTTCGAATCTACAGATGAGTATACTAATAAATCAATGTAAAATTACTTGTGTACTCGCTTGTTCATATCCTGACTTGTTTATTTCATTTTTTTAAAATTATTTTTGGTTTTTGTACATTTTTTTAAATTGCTTGTCCGTAAGCCCGTAAGGAAATTAAAATTGTGTTTTATTTTCTTCTTTAAGTTTTGTATGGCAATCTAATAAATAAATTGATCCAAAAAAATAAGTTGACAAACAATTTTAAAATATAAGTAGGGTGACTATTAAAAACATTTTTTGCCTTATTTGCTAATATTTTTTACGCAACTGTATGTGTTTTTTCATCGATTTTATTAGTTTAAATGTAGATAGATTAACAACTTAGCAACGCAATTTGTGTATAATTTTATTAATTGTAATATCGAAGCCTACCAATATACCCAAAGAGTAGTTTTTGGTATTTTTTAGGTATTTCTTATACCTCTGTTCTGTTGTTATTTTATAAATAGTAACGTTAATATGTGACAAATGGTTGTGCTCAATGCCACATTTACATGTTAAGGCCTAGTACTCAGATCGGCTAAGAGTTTCACTAGTCAAAAAATCTTATTCTTTGTAGAGTGACCGAAGTTTTCAAAGTTCACCCGCGATGCATGTGGCATGGTCTTACTGTCAATTTAAAAAAGAAGATTCTGCTGGTGCACAAAGAAGTTAAAATGAAAATAAATGAAATGTTCAACGAATGTTTTTATTTATGTAAATTAGAGTTAGTTTAAGGCTTCTTTCTCGTCCCATGGATGCTTCGCTATCTTTCCCGCGCCATCTGCAGCCCAGCTCCGAGTCCCAATAGGCTGGCCAATAATGGCTGGTGATGGCTCCTCCAGCTGTCCCTTAGCGGACGACCATATTTTTTTCTCCCGCTTTAGCTGTCAAGTAGCTGGTGGAGGTGGAGTCCTCAATTGAGAGCTCGTCGGAGATCGAACGATGTCCCATGTTCCTTCCCACTGGGATTCTCCTCCAGCGCTTTAACTATTCTACGGATTTGCCCCGTTGTGGTATTGCTTCCTGTCGGTCAAGTCCCACAACAATGGGCAACAGCTTGGATTAGGCGTCCTTTTTCATCTGTACTGACCTCCTTTAGCCGTTTTTGGTGTTTTTCTTCCATTTTTAATTTTTAAAATCCTCACCGCTTCTGCACGAACACCGCCAAAGATTACATTTCTTATTCTTTGGGCCGCGGCTAACGGCGTTCATCGAAAATTCACTCGCGAAATCTGGTATTTTTTCTAGTATTTCCTTAGCTCATCTGAGTACCGCGCTGAAAAACAGACCCGACGAAAACCTTTAGCCGCGTATTTGCCTCTCGCTCACTCCTATGGTTAGCTCGCGGTTTTCGTCGATCTGAGTACTAGGCTTAAGCTGTTAAATTAGAAAAAAAATGTCTGGTGCGACATGTCCCGACCGAAAAAGGTTAAAACCAAATTAAAAAGAACTGTAGGCAATTTCAGAGTCAATCCAAATCTATTTCGCAGTGACAATATCAGAGAACATTCTAAAAAACATCGCATTAAAATATTTCATCAGAATTCGCTGAAATCAAGGGTTGAATGAACTTCCGCATAAGTGTTGCGGCAAAACCCCCTTCTATTTTTCTCCCGAACGAAAACGACAGTATTTTCAATATATCTTTAAAATTTTAAATGCGACAAAATTAAGACTAATACACAATATACAGCTTGGGAACAATAAAAAATAAAGCATTTATTTCAATTTTAAAAGTGTACAAACGTCCCGAGTAACTTCCTGGAAGTGCCCGTATTCACTAAATAAAGATTTTTCTCTCCTTGAAAATACCAAGAATCCAGGGCTGCCGTCAACCAATCTGCAACCCTGCAATGATTACAGCTAATCAAGTTGGCTTTTGCAAGTTGTCATGGCATTCGAAGGCACTTGGAAAATATTCCCATTATTCCCAATAGCAAAACCGACTTCTATATCCGTTCTGATCTGGAGTTCGTGGACAGTCTGCTTAAGGACTTTCGATTGGAGGCACTGGTTTACAGTGAGTTGAAAGCTGGAGGTAAAGGCAAATATTTTGTGAGTGATTTGCTTCAGATTTATTCAGGGGCAAGCTGGTGGAGAACCTTTCCAGCGAGAGTGTCGAGGATCTGGAGAAGACGCATTTAGAGCGGATCGACGAGATGAGGAGGAGGCCCCGCCAGCAGGCGCTGATGATCCTGGTTCCCTTGCTCCCTGGCTCCCAGCCAGAAGTCTGAGCCGGGGATTACTGCTGCTTACCTTGCGGTATGAAGGAGAGGGGCACTGAACAGTGCCTTCCAATCCGGCGGCACCTGCAGCTGCCGTTCGGGGTCTTCACAAGTTCAGCTTCAGATCGATGTCAACTATGGCATTTTCGCCTCGTATCCCTAACGCTTTTCGTTTCGTAGCTCGTCCAGAGACTCTACCACCCGAGCGGTGAGGGCCCCAATCCCTCGACCCAACCTTAAACCCCAGGGTTAAATTCTTAAACTCGTGGGACTGCCTGATGAAGACCTTCGATTATAGGTTATAGGTTATATCTTATTGTCAAAGGTCTTCCCCTGGCAGCTCCAGGAGTCAATGAATTCACTCCTAAATGTTTAACGGTGGGTCGAGGGATTGATTCCCTCAGCGCTCGGATGGTCTTGAGTCTCGGGATGAGCAACGAAACGGGAAGCGTTAGAGATATGAGGCAAAGATGCCATTGTTTGCATCGTTCTGAAGCTGAACTTGTGAAGACTCGGAACGACAGCAGCAGGTGCCGCCGGATTGGAAGGCACTCCAATCCTCGGCTTTGGTTGAGCCTGTTCAGTGCCCTTCTCCTTCACATCGGCCATGATGCACCCATCAAGATCCCATGGGTGACATCGAACTGGAGCTGGAGTTGTTAGGACCCGGAACGGCGGCGACTTTGTCAGCGGTCAGTTGAAGTAGAGCGTTGTAATGTTGGACACGATGCGGGATGTGATTGCGCAGGCGGAGTGTCAGCCCGAACGGTGATTCCCCGCCGACGCCCACAAGCGCATGCGCACCTCTTTAGACCTGGAAATGGAACACTGATACCTATACATCGTATCACACATCGAATATACATATACCGGAGTCCCGGAGAGTACGAAGACGGATCCCTTACCAGTCCGGCATCAGCCACAATACGGGTTTTCTCGTTGACTATATCTAGTATTACTCCAAAGCGAATTATTTATAAATAAAATTAAGAAATATTACTTTTCATTTGCGTCAATCTGTTGAGTTCCTAATGCGTTCGGAGATATATAATGTCTTTTAGGGAATGGGGATCGTTGGCATGTGTAGCAAGTTGGTCAAAACAGTCGGTAATCGATATACTCTACGAGTAACGGGTATACTAGATTCGTCGGAAAGTATGTAACAGGTAATGTCTCGTTATACTCTACGTGTAACGGGTATACTAGATTCGTCGGAAAGTATGGAACAGTAGAAGGAAACGTTTCCGACCCAATAAATCTCAGAAACTATAAGAGCTAGAATGTTGGAACTTAACATGCTGATTCTTGGTCTTCCTCCGCAGCGCAAGTTTGTTTCAGCAGGGTGCCACGATCATTCTAACGCCCACAATCGACTATAACACTAAATCCGTCTAGTTCCAACATTGTTTAATATTTAAAAATTTAAATGACATATTTTCTTAATTAAATACTCATCTACATGCCTAAAATTATTAAAGTAGGACAAGTCATTAAAAAGTTATAACCAGATAATAAATTTTGCAATTAAATTAAAATTGCACTCCATATGCAAGTCAGCTGTTTCACTAACACCAAGCCGCAAGGGGCGCTATAGACTAGGTGGCACTAGATGTCGCTATAGGCTAGGGGTGTTAGTGAAAAAAACAGAGTTGCTGTAAGCAAATCTTTATCCCTCTCGCACTCCCTTAAGCTGAGTAACGGGTATCTAATAGTCGAGGCCATCGACTGTAGGATTTTCTCTTGTTTGTGCTTGAAATCCAGTTGAAATTTTCAATCAGACAGTCAAAACTCTCAAAGAAAACAAATTTTTAAGAAATATGTCCCCGTATCCTGGTTCCTGTGGTTCTTTGTTTCTGTTTTATTTTACACCTGTTCTTTTTAAGGGCATCACTGCAATGGAATGGAGACTTGTGAAAGTTTTATCCTGATAGCTAGAAAACTAAGACTAGTTTGAATAAAAACGGACAGATGGACTCATCTGGTGATGCTGATCAAGAATATATTTACTAAATAGGATCGGAAACGCTTCCTTCTACCTGTTACATACTTTCCGACGAATCTTTTACTCTACGATAAACGGGTATAACAATTAGCTAATTCAATAAAAATTGCACACCACATGAAGCAAATCGGCTGTTTTCACTATCACGCCACCAAGCCTATAGACGCTAGGGGGCGCTATGGGCTAGATGGTATGATAGTGAAAACACCCGTTTTGCTGAAAGCTGAATAAAGGGTATCTAATAGTCGAAGCCATTAACTACAGCGGTTTCTCTTATTGATACCAAGACCTTTAATATGTCGATTGGTTCAGGAGAAATTACAATCTCGCTTTGATGCTTGTATATCTCCATCTCCCTTCTGCTACAGATTAGATTAGATTTTTAGCCCAAGCTGAATATAAAATACGTTTCCGTCAGGATAGCAAAGAAATAGTTCGAATCTACAGATGAGTATACTAATAAATCAATGTAAAATTACTTGTGTACTCGCTTGTTCATATCCTGACTTGTTTATTTCATTTTTTTTAAATTATTTTTGGTTTTTGTACATTTTTTTAAATTGCTTGTAGCCCGTAAGGAAATTAAAATTGTGTTTTATTTTCTTCTTTAAATTTTGTATGGCAATCTAATAAATAAATTGATCCAAAAAAATAAGTTGACAAACAATTTTAAAATATAAGTAGGGTGACTATTAAAAACATTTTTGCCTTATTTGCTAATATTTTTTACGCAACTGTATGTGTTTTTTCATCGATTTTATTAGTTTAAATGTAGATAGATTAACAACTTAGCAACGCAATTTGTGTATAATTTTATTAATTGTAATATCGAAGCCTACCAATATACCCAAAGAGTAGTTTTTGGTATTTTTTAGGTATTTCTTATACCTCTGTTCTGTTGTTATTTTATAAATAGTAACGTTAATATGTGACAAATGGTTGTGCTCAATGCCACATTTACATGTTAAGGCCTAGTACTCAGATCGGCTAAGAGTTTCACTAGTCAAAAAATCTTATTCTTTGTAGAGTGACCGAAGTTTTCAAAGTTCACCCGCGATGCATGTGGCATGGTCTTACTGTCAATTTAAAAAAGAAGATTCTGCTGGTGCACAAAGAAGTTAAAATGAAAATAAATGAAATGTTCAACGAATGTTTTTATTTATGTAAATTAGAGTTAGTTTAAGGCTTCTTTCTCGTCCCATGGATGCTTCGCTATCTTTCCCGCGCCATCTGCAGCCCAGCTCCGAGTCCCAATAGGCTGGCCAATAATGGCTGGTGATGGCTCCTCCAGCTGTCCCTTAGCGGGCGACCATATTTTTTTCTCCCGCTTTAGCTGTCAAGTAGCTGGTGGAGGTGGAGTCCTCAATTGAGAGCTCGTCGGAGATCGAACGATGTCCCATGTTCCTTCCCACTGGGATTCTTTAGTGGATCTCCTCCAGCGCTTTAACTATTCTACGGATTTGCCCCGTTGTGGTATTGCTTCCTGTCGGTCAAGTCCCACAACAATGGGCAACAGCTTGGATTAGGCGTCCTTTTTCATCTGTACTGACCTCCTTTAGCCGTTTTTGGTGTTTTTCTTCCATTTTTAATTTTTAAAATCCTCACCGCTGCACGAACACCGCCAAAGATTACATTTCTTATTCTTTGGGCCGCGGCTAACGGCGTTCATCGAAAATTCACTCGCGAAATCTGGTATTTTTTCTAGTATTTCCTTAGCTCATCTGAGTACCGCGCTGAAAAACAGACCCGACGAAAACCTTTAGCCGCGTATTTGCCTCTCGCTCACTCCTATGGTTAGCTCGCGGTTTTCGTCGATCTGAGTACTAGGCTTAAGCTGTTAAATTAGAAAAAAAATGTCTGGTGCGACATGTCCCGACCGAAAAAGGTTAAAACCAAATTAAAAAGAACTGTAGGCAATTTCAGAGTCAATCCAAATCTATTTCGCAGTGACAATATCAGAGAACATTCTAAAAAACATCGCATTAAAATATTTCATCAGAATTCGCTGAAATCAAGGGTTGAATGAACTTCCGCATAAGTGTTGCGGCAAAACCCCCTTCTATTTTTCTCCCGAACGAAAACGACAGTATTTTCAATATATCTTTAAAATTTTAAATGCGACAAAATTAAGACTAATACACAATATACAGCTTGGGAACAATAAAAAATAAAGCATTTATTTCAATTTTAAAAGTGTACAAACGTCCCGAGCAACTTCCTGGAAGTGCCCATATTCACTAAATAAAGATTTTTCTCTCCTTGAAAATACCAAGAATCCAGGGCTGCCGTCAACCAATCTGCAACCCTGCAATGATTACAGCTAATCAAGTTGGCTTTTGCAAGTTGTCATGGCATTCGAAGGCACTTGGAAAATATTCCCATTATTCCCAATAGCAAAACCGACTTCTATATCCGTTCTGATCTGGAGTTCGTGGACAGTCTGCTTAAGGACTTTCGATTGGAGGCACTGGTTTACAGTGAGTTGAAAGCTGGAGGTAAAGGCAAATATTTTGTGAGTGATTTGCTTCAGATTTATTCAGGGGCAAGCTGGTGGAGAACCTTTCCAGCGAGAGTGTCGAGGATCTGGAGAAGACGCATTTAGAGCGGATCGACGAGATGAGGAGGAGGCCCCGCCAGCAGGCGCTGATGATCCTGGTTCCCTTGCTCCCTGGCTCCCAGCCAGAAGTCTGAGCCGGGGATTACTGCTGCTTACCTTGCGGTATGAAGGAGAGGGGCACTGAACAGTGCCTTCCAATCCGGCGGCACCTGCAGCTGCCGTTCGGGGTCTTCACAAGTTCAGCTTCAGATCGATGTCAACTATGGCATTTTCGCCTCGTATCCCTAACGCTTTTCGTTTCGTAGCTCGTCCAGAGACCCTACCACCCTAGCGGTGAGGGCGCCAATCCTTCGACCCATCCTTAAACCCATCCTTTAACCCCAGGGTTAAATTCTTAAACTCGTGGGACTGCCTGATGAAGACCTTCGATTATAGGTTATAGGTTATATCTTATTGTCAAAGGTCTTCCCCTGGCAGCTCCAGGAGTCAATGAATTCACTCCTAAATGTTTAACGGTGGGTCGAGGGATTGATTCCCTCAGCGCTCGGATGGTCTTAGGTCTCGGGATGAGCAACGAAACGGGAAGCGTTAGAGATATGAGGCAAAGATGCCATTATTGGCATCGTTCTGAAGCTAAACTTGTGAAGACTCGGAACGGCAGCAGCAGGTGCCGCCGGATTGGAAGGCACTCCAATCCTCGGCTTTGGTTGAGCCTGTTCTGTGCCCTTCTCCTTCACATCGCCCATCATGCACCTATCAAGATCACATGGGTGACATCGAACTGGAGCTGGAGTTGTTAGGACCCGGAACGGCGGCGACTTTGTCAGCGGTCAGTGGAAGTAGAGCGTTGTAATGTTGGACACGATGCGGGATGTGATTGCGCAGGCGGAGTGTCAGCCCGAACGGGGATTCCCCGCCGACGCCCACAAGCGCATGCGCACCTCTTTAGACCTGGAAATGGAACACTGATACCTATACATCGTATCACACATCGAATATACATATACCGGAGTCCCGGAGAGTACGAAGACGGATCCCTTACCAGTCCGGCATCAGCCACAATACGGGTTTTCTCGTTGACTATATCTAGTATTACTCCAAAGCGAATTATTTATAAATAAAATTAAGAAATATTACTTTTCATTTGCGTCAATCTGTTGAGTTCCTAATGCGTTCGGAGATATATAATGTCTTTTAGGGAATGGGGATCGTTGGCATGTGTTGCGAGGCTAATAAGAAGTTTTAGCCGCACGCTAACTGTCCAATTTCAAAAGTCGATTTATTTGAATTTAAAGTCTGTTAGTTTAAAAATACTGTTAAGTTGTTCAACACTGCTAGCCAGTGTCATCTCTATATTGTTAGTATTGGAAAACTTAGGAATGTAAGAAGAAGAAGAAAATGATGCTAGGAGAAGTTGAAGAGCGGCAAACCACAAGTATTTCAGCTATCTGTATGCTGTGAACCAGAGCTTGAAATAAGTGGAAACCCTCTGGGACCGTGGGTGTCCCAACATTCTGAAATACTTTGCCATCTGGAAAACTCGGTGCCAAGGGTGCACGTGCTTTCGGGAAAGCATTCTTTTACCAAGGGTGTAAAAGAGTGAGGACGGAGTATACACGATAGTGGTCATAGAGTGCCAAATTCGCAAGTTTCGACGACTTTGGCTGGTAATCGCACATGAGTTGTGTAGTAGTACTTGTACAAGGAGTGACGTCACAAGTGCGAAATGGATGATGCAACAGGACGAGGATCTGGTGATCAGTATTCACACACGGGATTGGGAGCAGGTTCAGTTGGAAGCGTAGGATGCAGCTTCACTGGGCCGTTCAGAGGTTTTGAGGACGAAAATTTATCTAGACAAACTGTGATTCACTCGAACCAGTTTGTGTCGCTTGAGAATGCGAGCACACCGATTATGTCTAATCACGCCGGCTACGACGCTTCGCAGAATTGGGCAGGGCAGCAGTTCACACAACAAGTGAACACGGGCAACATGAACGCGCAGAGGGCCACACCTCCTTATACGGAAAGGAGGGCGGCGCCTGAATTTATACCGAACACATTTTCGTATGCGAATCTTCAAGAAAACAATGCAGGTCAGTTTATGCCGACATATACCGCAGCGCAATGCGTACCGCCATGTAACACTGTCGGATTCATGCCACCAATATCTGTGCATCAAAACGTGGCCGCAGGGTTCTTTCCGCCAGCCAATGGGCTGGGTTCTGTACCACAGCCTAACGTCGTTTATAATGCTGGTTCTAATGCTGGTAACGTTGGAGCAGGAAGACATATGCCACAGTTTGCCGGCACACAGCTCCCACATGTAGTATCATCGGGACCCACATTGACGCCAGCTCAAGTTGCATCGCGCCAGGTCATATCACGAGACTTGCCAATTTTCACCGGAAAGACCGAAGAGTGGCTTTTATTTATAAGTAATTATGAACAATCAACCGAGAGATGTGGATTTACCAACGAAGAAAATCTGATCAGACTCCAGAAGTGTCTGAAAGGATCCGCGCTAGAAGCTGTCAGGGGAAAGCTCATGATCCCAGCTATGGTACCTTATGCCATTGGAACGCTAAGGATGTTGTATGGGCGTTCAGAAATAGTGCACGCTAGCTTGCAACGGAAGCTTAAAGAAGAGCCGCCCATCAAACCCAACAATTTGGAATCCGTGATTCGACTGGCACTGGCAGTCCAGAATTATTGTGCCACGATGATGCCAGTAGGACTACAGGAATACCTTAATGATTTTTCTCTGCTTAACGATTTGGTTGCCAAATTGCCAAGTGATCTTAAGCTGGATTGGGGTAGACATCGCTTGGCAGCTGGTGCCGCAAATTTGACCACCTTTGACAAGTGGCTCTTTGGAATAGCGATGTGCGCAACGATGGTTGCACCCTATGAATGTCACTCAACAGAGAAAGATAAAGGTGGAAGGTATTCAAAGGAGCGCCTGCTAGTGCACGACATGCTAGGAAGCAATGACGACGGCAAGTCGAAGGCACACGTCACAGAAGATCAACCTTGTCCAGAATGTGGCTGCGTCCATGGTCTGGCAAATTGCAAAGGATTCTTATCTATGTCCATCAAGTCGAGAGTGGAATTTATTAAATCCAAACGACTTTGCTTTTGTTGTTTTGGAAAGCATATTGTCCGTAACTGCAGAGTGAAGAAACTTTGCAACCTCGATGGATGTAAGTTACCGCACAACGTGCTATTGCATTATCCGAATACTGAGACTAACAGCGAGATTCGTAATGACAAGGAGGACATTCCTAGAAAAACCGGCGAGTCAGAGACCATCGAGTCAACGGTTTTCTTTCATGAGAAATCAACAACAAAGGCTCTTTTCCGTTATATACCAGTAACATTGCATAATAATTCCCGTAGCATAGACGTTTATGCTCTAATCGACGAAGGTGCGTCCTGCACGCTTATGGAACGATCGTTAGCCGATGAGCTAGGGCTTGACGGTCCTGAAGAGCAGCTTTGTCTTAAGTGGACTAGCGACGTGACCCAGAGCGAGTCAAAATCGAGAGTCGTTAGCGTTAGGGTTTCCGCTGAGGGTCGTCCGGAAGTAAAACACGGACTTAAAGGAGTGCGTACTGTAAACAACTTGGATCTTCCATTGCAAAGCATCGACGATCAGACACTCAAAGAACGTCAGCACTTGAGAACGGTTCCGATATCAACATACAAAGATGTGAGGGCTCAAATTATCATCGGACTAGACAACATTAAGATCAGTGTGCCGCTGGAGGTACGTCAAGCTGAGGATGACGATCTTATTGCCGTTCGATGTAAATTAGGATGGGCTGTATACGGCCGCCAAGGACCGGAAAATGACACGCCACCTCGTGTATTCCATATCTGCCACTGCGCAACAGTTTGCGGTATGCGGAAACTTGACGAAGCTATGAAGGCATTCTTCTCGCTGGAGTCATTCGGCGTGAGTGTTCCTATAAAACCGTTGCGATCAAAGGAGGACGAGCAGGCGCTAAAGATAATGGAGGCAACTACAAAGTACATTTCCAACGAAAGTCGCTGGGAGACTGGGTTGTTGTGGAAGTACGACAAAATCAATATGCCCGATTCGTACCCCATGGCTCTAAAAAGGCTCAAGTGCCTTGAGGCGAAAATGTTAAAAGATCCGAAGCTGAAAACGTTTTTGAGTAATACCATGCAGCACTACGAGGAAAAGAGATACATTCGCAAACTGGAAAAATGGGAGTTGTCAAACAGTCCACGTTCTTGGTATCTTCCGATATTCACGGTAACAAACCCTAACAAGAAGAAGACACGTCTGGTCTGGGACGCGGCAGCGCAAGTTGACGGCATATCACTAAACGACACTATTTTAAAAGGACCAGACATGTTGGTGTCCTTGATGGGAGTGCTGTTGCGCTTCAGAGAACGACCTATAGCGGTATCAGGCGATATACGGGAAATGTTTCATCAGATTAAAGTTTGCGCCCAAGACCAATATTCCCAGAAGTTCTTATGGCGAAATGGAGAACTTAATCGCCCACCGGATACATTCGTAATGCAGGTAATGACGTTCGGCGCTGCATGTTCGCCGTCACTCGCCAACTTTATATTGAGACGCAATGCAGAGAGATTTGGTGAAAGTCATCCAGAAGCCGTAAAAGCAATTTGCCGAAACACTTTCGTTGACGATTGGTTGGAGTCAGTTGATACAGAGGAGCAAATGGTTAAACTCGCGAATAATATTAAGAATATTCACGCGAAGGGTGGATTCGAGATGAGAAACTGGCTGTCAAACTCCAAGCGCGTCGTATGCTCTCTGAATGACGTTTATGAAGCGCCGCCTAAGTACCTTGGCACACACGATGAACTGCAGGAGAAAGTGTTAGGAATGTGGTGGCTGCCCGAGTCGGATATGCTAACGTTTGTCATCAAGCCTGAATTGCTGCAGAGGTCGTCAGCTGGCTCTCATACGAAGCGACGAGTGTTGAGTATCGTTATGTCCATTTTCGATCCACTCGGGCTTCTTGGATTTTTTAACGTGCGTGCCAAAATTATTCTACAAAATATTTGGAGGTCTGGTGTAAGCTGGGACGACGCAATCAAGGAACCGGATGAGATTGACTGGATGAAATGGCAAGCCTTACTGCCAAAACTGAGCCATCTGCGTATCCCTCGCTACATGTCATGCTCGAGTAATGTTAAGAGCCTGCAACTACATATGTTCGTTGATGCTAGTTTGGATGCCTACGCTGCGGTAGCATATTTGCGAGTTGATCTTGGAGACGAAATCCGATGCTCCTTGCTAGCATCGAAAACCAGAGTAGCACCTTTGAAACCTATATCGGTACCACGAATGGAATTAATGGCAGCGGTTTTGGGATTGCGCCTGGCCAAGTGTTTGGAGTCTGAGCTATCAAACGAAATTGAAAAACGTGTGTTCTGGACTGATGCTCAAGATGTTCTGTTCTGGATAAGATCCGACGCTCGTAAGTACCCGCAATTTGTAGCTTTACGAGTTGGAGAAATTCTTGAAGGCTCCGAAGTTGGTGAATGGCGCTGGGTATCCTCGGAACTAAATGTAGCGGACGATGGGACTAAATGGACAAAAGGTGTTGAGGTAAATAGTTCA